GTATCCTTGCTCAGTTTATTGCGACAGGCAGGCACTAACCAATCCACTGGTCGGCTGCCAAGAGGGTACTGCGGTATCTGGCGAGTATATCAAGACTTGGGCTTGTACTAGGAGGATGGGAGCCAGTGGTGCTCACTAGACACACAGACACGTCGTGTGCTGACGACTTGGAGACGCTCGGGTCCTTACAGGAGTACTGCTTTAGTCTTGGTTCTGGGACAGTCTCGTGGAGGTCCACTAGGTGGTCGTCTGTAGCTCAGTCCAGCCGTGAGGCAGAGATCCATGCTGGGGCCATGGCCGCTCAGGAGCTCCGCTGGCTGACGTTCTTACTCATCAACTTAGGTGAGCAGCCAAGGTCTGTCCCGGTCCTATTTACTGACAACGGGGCCATGATCTTCCTGTGTCGGGAGGCTCGACTTGAGGGCAGGGCGAAGCACATCCAGCTGCGGTACTTCTTGCCGCGTGAGCTGCAGCAGCGCGTTCAAGCTCGTATTGTACCATTGGCGTCAGAGGCCAAAATTGCTTATATCTGCACCAAGGTACTACCGTCTGGTGACCATCAACGGTTCAGTTTTCAGCTTGATATTGATATATGCTATACCTGCTTGTACTTCTTGTTCTATACGGGTCTGTCTTGCTACACTTGCTGACTGGCCTTGTGGCCTTTTGTCTTAGTGGTCAGGCTAGTAGTGCTACCCTGATTTGTCTTGTTATCTTCGATAGAGGCCAGACTAGTAACGTTGCCTCTACCTAGTCTAGTTGGTGTGTCAACAAACATATATTTATGTATAATTAGGTTAGGTATGTTTGTATAACCTAGCTAGGTCAGCTCTTAGAGGGGACAATTCACTCTACTATCTCCCCTCCCCTCTTCCTAGTCCAATTTTTCTTGCTATCTTGACTAGTAAAGCTAGACAGCTAGCACGCTTTTGTGCAGGTTTTTTCTCAACTGATTTGTCAAAGCCCATGCATGTGTACACATAATTGGCTACGACCATCAATAAAACTTAAAACTTGATTGAAAATGCCACATACTTCTATTTTGTTTCCATCTTCCATAAACAATAAAAACCCGTGGCACCAGGCCCCCAAATTGGTTTTGGGCCTGTTTGATTCGTTAGAGTCCCCTGCCTTCCCTTGGTATGGGTTTCAGAGTTACCTCCTTGAAAAAAGTCTGAAAAATCAGAGTAGCCTTCGATTCTTTGTTTGGCCAATCAGAGTCATAGCCAAACTTTTGTATGAGCCTTTTTTATGGTTCTTCATTACACAATGCACTACATTTCACTACATACACGGAATCAGTCAATACCCTGCATATCCTGCTGAGGCGCTGCCGGCTTATCATCATCTACTTTCTTCTTTCCCTTCCTGCTGCTACTGGCCTCGGGCAGGGCATTGCTAAGGGGCTTCCTCTTCTTATAAGCCCGCCAGATGGTGACCACCTCGTCCCAGTCGGGGTCATACTCTAGCTGCAACATGCACATCAGATCTCCTAGCCTAGTATCCTTGAGAGCCCCCCGCAACCAACTCTTGATGACGTTCTGGCGGGAGAATCCGCGCTCGCACTCGACAGTGCTCAACGGAAGGACAGCCATCGCCACCCACAGGTTGATCAGGTTGGGGTAGCTGTCACTCCAGTCCTGCATCTTGAGCATGGCGCTCAGCCCCGCATGGAATGACTTGTCCGCCTTGGGAAGCGCAGCAAGGACGGGAACGAAGTTGCGGAGCTCGCTCTGGGCTTTGCGTTTGTCTATACCTGATCAGACAAGGGCACACAAGGAGAGGGAGAAGGGTTGGGTTATCGAAAACAGTACACAGCTAGTAAAAGATTTGTGTCTTGTTTCAGATACATTGCTGAAGGGATACTGGAAGGAGTAGATGATGATTCACCTGGCAGAATCTCGTCCCTGTCTTCAGCGCGGTAGATGACCAGAAGCGAGTTGAACCACTCGAGGCACTGCGTCCTCCGTGCCTGTCGGTCCCAGTTGGGCGGCCATGTGTCGACGCTGAACAGGTGCGCTCCCGACAGCTGCCGCAGATCGCCTAGGCGCTCGTCGAGGTTGCGGACCAGGCCCTCCGCTAGAGCCATGCATGCCACGACACTCCCATCGTGGTCGCTGGGCCCCGGGTAGTCCTCTTGGGGCTCTTCGTGCAGCTCGAAGGTGAACCGTGAAGGTCGGCCATCGGAGTCAATCCCCTCCACTGTCACTAGCTTGGACTTGCCGGGCCTGTGCTTGGCGAGGAACCGCGTCAATTGATCGTTGGGCCCGCCGGTAAAGTTGTCCCCGCAGTCCACGTAGCAGCTCTCTAGCAGTGAGGTCATGTGGATGATCTGCGCGTGCACCGTTGTGTAGTCCAGCTGGTGGGTAGGGGGTCGAGGAGAGGTAGGGCATCACAGACGGATGTGTGGTTAAGGGACGAGCGGAAGAGACAAGCAACATCGACATACATGCAAATAGACACATTTAACATTTTTACCTCCCGCTGCTGGAAAACCTTGTTGAGGACGTTCAGCAGCTCCAGCACGTCGGCAAGGAACATCAAGAGGAGCCATAAGCGGTAACTGGTGACGAGCGCGTACAGCTTGGCGTCGTACTCCTGCAGTATAACCACGATGGCTGGTAGGACTTCGACCAGGCGGATGACCACATCTCCGCGCAACAGCTAGCGGATGTTGTGGATCCCCTAGAGCACGAGGTTCATCGACATGAACACCTCCTTGAGCTCCAGGAACCGTTGATGCCAAGGGTTGGAGCGACCGAGCAGCTCAGCAATCTCGTGAATAATGTTGTCCACCATGCTGAAGACAGGGATCTCCTCGGCAGCAGCCTTTACCGCCAGCGCCTCTCTGCGTGGAATAAAGAGATGAGATGCAAACTAGGAAGCAAATTAAGGATTGGACTTATAAACAAAACAAGAAGCAAATATACATGACATGCACACAGCAAACGGATGACGAACCGATGGGCAATGCAATGGCAAGAGACAAGGTGCGAAACGCGAAGACGAAGGCGAGCTACAAGTCAAGAGCGCAATCCCATGATGACGGCAGCGCCGTCAGTGCTTATGCCAGAGATGCGGCCGAGGTCGACGCCAATCGCCCGCAGATGGGACAACAAGAGGGCGAGAAGCGATGCCGCATCCGCCTTATCCACTGTCAACAGAGCCAGGTACTAGGTTACAAGCCGCCCTTCCCGGACAACGTGGCAAACACGATCATATGCTTGCCACGGCAGCGCTCGGTGCTTTCGTCGAGGCTCAGGCCAATGTAGGGACTCGCCAGCAGGTGTTGGAGTTGAGTCGTTTGCAGCCACGTTGCCGTCTCTTGTGTCAGCTTGCCGAAGCCGTACCTGTTACATGACACGCACAAGCCCATTTGTTGTACGTTCCATATCTAAAGACGAGACAGAGAGAATTTCATAGTCACTGGAGTTCTCACCAGTTATAGTACGTGCCGTAGGCAGACTTCGAGAAGCCCTTGAAATTGCGCGATGAGAGGTATCGCACCAAACGAATCCATGTTTCCATGGGTTCGTTACACTTGGCACAGAAGTAGAGGGAGTCGAGCAGCACGATGACTCGCTCCTTCTCTTCGTCGGCCGCGTGGGGATGCATGTCGATCCGCTGCTGGTTCGACGCCAGTTGCAGGAGATCGTCCTGCTTGGACATGGCGAGGCGATGCTTCTGCGTCCCGGCGTGCTTCTTGAACGACTGGGTCTGCACGTCCTTTGCTCCCTTGCCCGATTTGCCGATATGCCCTGCAGGTCTTGCATGCACTGCACATACACTGCACTTGAAGGCCGGGAGCCCATCGTCAGTTTTCAAGAGCATGAGCCAAGGGAATCTGTCAGACCAGCGAGATTTGAAACGCTCTTGTGCCTCAGCATAGATGTCCTCGTTCGTTCTAGCAGTGGACCTACCGCCATATGATTCTGGCGTATCCGCAGGTACAAAGAGGCTCGGCACAGGCTCAGGCGGATCCTGGCATGTCGACATGGAGGCGTACAGCAGAATCACCCTCCTGTACCGGAACCTCTTCGCCGCCGTCACCGATGGCGTGGTGCCGGCGACAAGAGCTAAAGCAGCGGGCAGGGGGCTTGCATCCGCAGAATTCTTGCCCGCTGCGTCGGGAACAGGCGCATCGCCATCAGCAGGGGCAGCGTCTCTAGGCTTCCTCTGAGGGCTACGATCTGAGGCATCCGACTGCCGCAGGAACTTTAGGGCGGCGGGACCATCGCGGAAATTCTCAGCACACCAGTACTCTTTTTCTTGTTCGTCATAATCTGCCTCGTCTACATCCTCATCGAGGTCGGCCTGCTCCATGGCCTGCAGGCGCGGTGGGAAAACAAACGCACTGAAAGAAAACCGAGGGGCTACATGAAGCTTGGGTGAAGTTTTGCTGGAGGAGGGAGAAGCAGGGTTGTTTTCCCCGTCAGTAATGAACTGATGGAGAAGGAGGGGGTCTGCCAGCTGCAACTCCATCGCGGCGCGCGAGATGCTGTCCATGCATAAATGAACCAGGCACTCGTCGCGTCAGCATGGGTGCGGTGCCTCGTCTGTTGTGCCTCACCCAGCAAAATGCCTCTGGATTGGCGAAAACAGCCGTGTTTTGGTCAAGGACCAATCGGCTGCTCGGGCTATCTCTGTGCTGGCGCCATCGCACAAAATTTGCCCGCCGACGGCTCGGGCTGCGCCAGCGCAAATATAAATCTGGCGTGATTGACGGTGACGACAGTACCAGTGCAAATCTCGCAACCCCCCCTCAAATGACGGTATTACAGGAATCAGAGTCCCCCCCCCATACAAGGATGAAGCATCAGAGTACACTTGTAAAAGAAGTCTGAAAAATCAGTGTAGGTACATAAAACTTCTCTGAAAAATCAGAGTAACATAGAAAAAAAAGTATTTGGGATCAGAGTACACCCCCAAAAAAACTATGAAAAAAGTTTGAATCAGAGTAATAAAAAGTCTGCAATTTGGGGGCCGTGGCACCTTACGATCATGTTTTCTAGTAATGACGTTGGCCTCGATTAGAGCGAGCAAAATCAGCCAGTGAGGTTGCCTGCGGGAGCACGGCGCAGCGCCATGCCCACCAAGCCCTCACGGCGCGCGCAGCCAGGCAGCGCCACGAGCTCGTCGGGGGGCACCGCGGATGCACCGCTTCCGCCGTCGCTCTTCGCCAAGGGCCCTTTCCCCTTGCGCGCTGCCCTCCTCGCCTCCGCCGCCGTCCCCGACGCCCTTCCACCAGGCCCGCCAGGCGGAGCGGCGCAGCCGGCGGGCGTCGAGTCGCCGTCGCAGTGCCGCCAATCGGCAATCGCCCCCCCCGTCGAGTGACGGTCGCGATGACAGCTTCCACGGCGCGGAGGGCGCTATCGGCGCAGAGGGCGCGCGGAGGGGGGGCGAGACGGAGAGTGCGGGCAGCGAGGGCAGCGGGGGCGTGGGCGATGCGCGTCGAGGGCTGACGTGCTGGACGTGCGGCGAGGCGTTCGCCGACGTGCCACAGCAGCGCGCGCACTGCAAGGCGGACTGGCACCGCCTCAACGTCAGACCCCTCGCCGTGGCCCCTCGCTCCCATGCGTCCACCGTCCCTTGCCCCCATGCTGCACCCTCCCATGCTGCACCCTCCCATGCTGCACCCTCCCATGCTGCACCCTCCCATGTCGCCACCCTCCCATGCTGCACCCTCCCATGCCCCTATGCCTCCAGGCTCCATGCATCTGCCCTCCCGTCGCTTTGTCACCCGCCGTCGCTTTCCGAGCTCGCGCCCATCCCCCCCCATGCAACCCACGCCCTCCCCCCTCCCCACTCTTCCTTACCCCCTCCCCCCTCCCCCCTTCCCCCAGGTGAAGCGCCGAGCATCCGGGCGGCCCGCACTGGCAGAAGACGCCTTCACGGCGCTGGTGGAGAGGAGGGGCGCGCAGGGGGCGGGCGGAGGGCAGGGCAGGGGGGAGCAGGGGAGGGGCAGAGGCCGGCAGGGCAAGGCGGATGCGGTGGGGGGCACAGCGGGGCGGGGCGAGGGCGGAGCAGTGGAGGGCGAGGGGGAAGGCCGGGGGGGCGATGATGAGGACGACTGGTCGAGCATCTCCGGGTCGGAGGACGAGGAAGAGGGGGGGAGGGAGACGAGCAGGGGGGGGAAGAGGGCAGGGCGGCAGGCAGGTCGCCCAAGGTGCACTTCGTGCTGCCAGAGACAGGCGACACATTCGCGCTTTGGAGAGTGCTCTTCTCACCAGGTGCTCTTCTCACCAGGTGCTCTTCTCACCAGGTGCTCTTCTCACCAGGTGCTCTTCTCTCCAGGTGCTCTTCTCTCCAGGTGCTCTTCTCACCAGGTGCTCTTCTCACCAGGTGCTCTTCTCACCAGGTGCTCTTCTCTCCAGGTGCTCTTCTCACCAGGTGCTCTTCTCACTAGGTGCTCTTCTCACCAGGCGCTCTTCTCACCAGGAGGCTGTTCGTGAGACCCACCAGGAACCCACCACGCCAGCCCGAGTCACGCTGGAACGAAGGCTCTCCTACCAAACCAAAACGAGGATAAGACAATCAACCCGCATGTGCGGGTAATCTGATAGCGTAGTTAGAAAAGCCAAACAGAAAACCGCATTGTTCAAACCAACAGTGCACATAAACGACAGGGGCACCATGTGCTTTCCACAGTGACCTACCAACCTCGAGGAGAGCTGATGCACGTCCAGGAAAGAAGGTAGACGAAAAAGGGAACTCCTTCACGGAAAAAACACTACAGCCCCACACCGAAAAATTGCACTTGTAATTTGGACAAGGGTAACTAGTGAGCATTCGAACACAAAAGGCAGAGCCATATCACGAAGTGGGGCTATTGGGGTGCGCTTCGATTCTTACCAGCGGCCGTCCTCACGCTGCTCCAACTTTGATGGCCCATCCCTGGTGGCTCCCTGGCCCCCGAAACGCGGGGACCAGCGATCCGGCGAGCTCCTACCAGTGTTTCCCTGTAGAGCACTGTTTCCCTGTAGAGCACTGTTTCCCTGTAGAGCACTGTTTCCCTGTAGAGCACTGTTTCCCTGTAGAGCACTGTTCCCTGTAGAGCACTGTTTCCCTGTAGAGCACTGTTTCCCTGTAGAGCACTGTTTCCCTGTAGAGCACTGTTTCCCTGTAGAGCACTGTTCCCTGTAGAGCACTGTTTCCCTGTAGAGCACTGTTTCCCTGTAGAGCACTGTTTCCCTGTAGAGCACTGTTTCCCTGTAGAGCACTGTTTCCCTGTAGAGCACTGTTTCCCTGTAGAGCACTGTTTCCCTGTAGAGCACTGTTTCCCTGTAGAGCACTGTTTCCCTGTAGAGCACTGTTTCCCTGTAGAGCACTGTTTCCCTGTAGAGCACTGTTTCCCTGTAGAGCACTGTTTCCCTGTAGAGCACTGTTTCCCTGTAGAGCACTGTTTCCCTGTAGAGCACTGTTTCCCTGTAGAGCACTGTTTCCCTGTAGAGCACTGTTTCCCTGTAGAGCACTGTTTCCCTGTAGAGCACTGTTTCCCTGTAGAGCACTGTTTCCCTGTAGAGCACTGTTTCCCTGTAGAGCACTGTTTCCCTGTAGAGCACTGTTTCCCTGTAGAACACTTTTTCCCTGTAGAGCACTGTTTCCCTGTAGAGCACTGTTTGCCCTTTTAGATTCACTGTTGAGCTTCCCAGCATTCGACCGGGGACCCCCCGGTTCCAGCCTCACCATTCCGACGAGGCTGATTTGGAGGTACGTGGCGGTCGCAGCCCGGCTCGGCAGGTCGCTTGGCAACAGCGCATGTGTCGAACCTGTCTGGCAGGATCCTGGTGGGTCCCCGGTTGGGCAAGCGAACAACGCCCAGGTGCTCTTCTCACCAGGTGCTCTTCTCACCAGGTGCTCTTCTCACCAGGTGCTCTTCTCACCAGGTGCGCGGGTGGCGCGTTAGAGGCGGTGGCGCTGTGCCCCGCCCCCTCTTTCATGCCCCGCTGCGTGGCGTGCTGTGCTGCGTGGCGTGCTGTGCTGCGTGGCGTGCTGCGCTGCGTGGCGTGCTGCGCTGCGTGGCGTGCTGCGCTGCGTGGCGTGCTGTGCTGCGTGGCGTGCTGTGCTGCGTGGCGTGCTGTGCTGCGTGGCGTGCTGTGCTGCGTGGCGTGCTGCGCTGCGTGGCGTGCTGTGCTGCGTGGCGTGCTGTGCTGCGTGGCGTGCTGCGCTGCGTGGCGTGCGTGGCGTGCTGTGCTGCGTGGCGTGCTGTGCTGCGTGGCGTGCTGCGCTGCGTGGCGTGCTGTGCTGCGTGGCGTGCTGTGCTGCGTGGCGTGCTGTGCTGCGTGGCGTGCTGCGCTGCGTGGCGTGCTGTGCTGCGTGGCGTGCTGTGCTGCGTGGCGTGCTGCGCTGCGTGGCGTGCTGCGCTGCGTGGCGTGCTGCGCTGCGTGGCGTGCTGTGCTGCGTGGCGTGCTGTGCTGCGTGGCGTGCTGTGCTGCGTGGCGTGCTGTGCTGCGTGGCGTGCTGCGCTGCGTGGCGTGCTGTGCTGCGTGGCGTGCTGTGCTGCGTGGCGTGCTGCGCTGCGTGGCGTGCTGTGCTGCGTGGCGTGCTGTGCTGCGTGGCGTGCTGCGCTGCGTGGCGTGCTGCGCTGCGTGGCGTGCTGCGCTGCGTGGCGTGCTGTGCTGCGTGGCGTGCTGTGCTGCGTGGCGTGCTGTGCTGCGTGGCGTGCTGTGCTGCGTGGCGTGCTGTGCTGCGTGGCGTGCTGTGCTGCGTGGCGTGCTGCGCTGCGTGGCGTGCTGTGCTGCGTGGCGTGCTGTGCTGCGTGGCGTGCTGCGCTGCGTGGCGTGCTGTGCTGCGTGGCGTGCTGCGCTGCGTGGCGTGCTGTGCTGCGTGGCGTGCTGTGCTGCGTGGCGTGCTGCGCTGCGTGATATGCTGTGCTGCGTGGCATGCTGTGCTGCGTGGCGTGCTGTGCTGCGTGGCGTGCTGTGCTGCGTGGCGTGCTGTGCTGCGTGGCGTGCTGTGCTGCGTGGCGTGCTGCGCTGCGTGGCGTGCTGTGCTGCGTGGCGTGCTGTGCTGCGTGGCGTGCTGCGCTGCGTGGCGTGCTGTGCTGCGTGGCGTGCTGTGCTGCGTGGCGTGCTGCGCTGCGTGGCGTGCTGCGCTGCGTGGCGTGCTGCGCTGCGTGGCGTGCTGTGCTGCGTGGCGTGCTGTGCTGCGTGGCGTGCTGTGCTGCGTGGCGTGCTGTGCTGCGTGGCGTGCTGTGCTGCGTGGCGTGCTGTGCTGCGTGGCGTGCTGCGCTGCGTGGCGTGCTGTGCTGCGTGGCGTGCTGTGCTGCGTGGCGTGCTGCGCTGCGTGGCGTGCTGTGCTGCGTGGCGTGCTGTGCTGCGTGGCGTGCTGCGCTGCGTGGCGTGCTGCGCTGCGTGGCGTGCTGCGCTGCGTGGCGTGCTGTGCTGCGTGGCGTGCTGTGCTGCGTGGCGTGCTGTGCTGCGTGGCGTGCTGTGCTGCGTGGCGTGCTGCGCTGCGTGGCGTGCTGTGCTGCGTGGCGTGCTGTGCTGCGTGGCGTGCTGCGCTGCGTGGCGTGCTGTGCTGCGTGGCGTGCTGTGCTGCGTGGCGTGCTGCGCTGCGTGGCGTGCTGTGCTGCGTGGCGTGCTGCGCTGCGTGGCGTGCTGTGCTGCGTGGCGTGCTGTGCTGCGTGGCGTGCTGCGCTGCGTGATATGCTGTGCTGCGTGGCATGCTGTGCTGCGTGGCATGCTGTGCTGCGTGGCATGCTGTGCTGCGTGGCATGCTGTGCTGCGTGGCGTGCTGCGCTGCGTGGCGTGCTGCGCTGCGTGGCGTGCTGTGCTGCGTGGCGTGCTGTGCTGCGTGATATGCTGTGCTGCGTGGCATGCTGTGCTGCGTGATATGCTGTGCTGCGTGATATGCTGTGCTGCGTGGCATGCTGTGCTGCGTGATATGCTGTGCTGCGTGATATGCTGTGCTGCGTGGCATGCTGTGCTGCGTGGCATGCTGTGCTGCGTGGCGTGCTGTGCTGCGTGGCGTGCTGTGCTGCGTGATATGCTGTGCTGCGTGGCATGCTGTGCTGCGTGATATGCTGTGCTGCGTGATATGCTGTGCTGCGTGGCATGCTGTGCTGCGTGATATGCTGTGCTGCGTGGCATGCTGTGCTGCGTGGCATGCTGTGCTGCGTGGCATGCTGTGCTGCGTGGCATGCTGTGCTGCGTGGCGTGCTGCGCTGCGTGGCGTGCTGGCTGCGTGGCGTGCTGCGCTGCGTGGCGTGCTGCGCTGCGTGGCGTGCTGCGCTGCGTGGCGTGCTGCGCTGCGTGGCGTGCTGCGCTGCGTGGCGTGCTGCGCTGCGTGGCGTGCTGCGCTGCGTGGCGTGCTGCGCTGCGTGGCATGCTGTGCTGCGTGGCATGCTGTGCTGCGTGGCGTGCTGTGCTGCGTGGCGTGCTGTGCTGCGTGGCGTGCTGTGCTGCGTGGCGTGCTGCGCTGCGTGGCGTGCTGCGCTGCGTGGCGTGCTGCGCTGCGTGGCGTGCTGCGCTGCGTGGCGTGCTGCGCTGCGTGGCGTGCTGCGCTGCGTGGCGTGCTGCGCTGCGTGGCGTGCTGCGCTGCGTGGCGTGCTGCGCTGCGTGGCGTGCTGCGCTGCGTGGCGTGCTGCGCTGCGTGGCGTGCTGCGCTGCGTGGCGTGCTGCGCTGCGTGGCGTGCTGCGCTGCGTGGCGTGCTGCGCTGCGTGGCGTGCTGCGCTGCGTGGCGTGCTGCGCTGCGTGGCATGCTGTGCTGCGTGGCATGCTGTGCTGCGTGGCATGCTGTGCTGCGTGGCATGCTGTGCTGCGTGGCGTGCTGTGCTGCGTGATATGCTGTGCTGCGTGGCATGCTGTGCTGCGTGGCATGCTGTGCTGCGTGGCATGCTGTGCTGCGTGGCGTGCTGTGCTGCGTGGCGTGCTGTGCTGCGTGGCGTGCTGCGCTGCGTGGCGTGCTGCGCTGCGTGGCGTGCTGCGCTGCGTGGCGTGCTGCGCTGCGTGGCGTGCTGTGCTGCGTGGCGTGCTGCGCTGCGTGGCGTGCTGCGCTGCGTGGCGTGCTGCGCTGCGTGGCGTGCTGCGCTGCGTGGCGTGCTGCGCTGCGTGGCGTGCTGCGCTGCGTGGCGTGCTGCGCTGCGTGGCGTGCTGCGCTGCGTGGCGTGCTGCGCTGCGTGGCGTGCTGCGCTGCGTGGCGTGCTGCGCTGCGTGGCGTGCTGCGCTGCGTGATATGCTGTGCTGCGTGGCATGCTGTGCTGCGTGGCATGCTGTGCTGCGTGGCATGCTGTGCTGCGTGGCATGCTGTGCTGCGTGGCATGCTGTGCTGCGTGGCGTGCTGTGCTGCGTGGCGTGCTGTGCTGCGTGATATGCTGTGCTGCGTGGCATGCTGTGCTGCGTGGCATGCTGTGCTGCGTGATATGCTGTGCTGCGTGGCATGCTGTGCTGCGTGGCATGCTGTGCTGCGTGGCGTGCTGTGCTGCGTGGCGTGCTGTGCTGCGTGATATGCTGTGCTGCGTGGCATGCTGTGCTGCGTGATATGCTGTGCTGCGTGATATGCTGTGCTGCGTGGCATGCTGTGCTGCGTGATATGCTGTGCTGCGTGATATGCTGTGCTGCGTGGCATGCTGTGCTGCGTGGCATGCTGTGCTGCGTGGCGTGCTGTGCTGCGTGGCGTGCTGTGCTGCGTGATATGCTGTGCTGCGTGGCATGCTGTGCTGCGTGATATGCTGTGCTGCGTGATATGCTGTGCTGCGTGGCATGCTGTGCTGCGTGATATGCTGTGCTGCGTGGCATGCTGTGCTGCGTGGCGTGCTGTGCTGCGTGGCATGCTGTGCTGCGTGGCATGCTGTGCTGCGTGGCGTGCTGTGCTGCGTGGCGTGCTGTGCTGCGTGGCGTGCTGCGCTGCGTGGCGTGCTGCGCTGCGTGGCGTGCTGCGCTGCGTGGCGTGCTGCGCTGCGTGGCGTGCTGCGCTGCGTGGCGTGCTGCGCTGCGTGGCGTGCTGCGCTGCGTGGCGTGCTGCGCTGCGTGGCGTGCTGCGCTGCGTGGCGTGCTGCGCTGCGTGGCGTGCTGCGCTGCGTGGCGTGCTGCGCTGCGTGGCGTGCTGCGCTGCGTGGCGTGCTGCGCTGCGTGGCGTGCTGCGCTGCGTGGCGTGCTGCGCTGCGTGGCGTGCTGCGCTGCGTGGCGTGCTGCGCTGCGTGGCGTGCTGCGCTGCGTGGCGTGCTGGCGCTGCGTGCGCTGCGTGGCGTGCTGCGCTGCGTGGCGTGCTGCGCTGCGTGGCGTGCTGCGCTGCGTGGCGTGCTGCGCTGCGTGGCGTGCTGCGCTGCGTGGCGTGCTGCGCTGCGTGGCGTGCTGCGCTGCGTGGCGTGCTGCGCTGCGTGGCGTGCTGCGCTGCGTGGCATGCTGCGCTGCGTGGCATGCTGTGCTGCATGGCATGCTGTGCTGCGTGTCATGCTCTGCTGCATGGCATGCTGTGCTATCTCCATGCCATGCCCTGCTCGCCATTCCTCACCCCGCACTGCTCACCATTTTTCCCCCACCAGGGGAGGGCGCTGACCTGCTGCAGGAGCTGGTGGCGCTGGGGGGCGGGGCAGGGGGGGAGAGAGGGGGGGCATTCAGAGCATGTGGGGAGGGGAGTGTGGAGGGAGGGGAAGCAGATGAGGGGAGGAGCAAGGGCGAGGGTGGTGCGGGTGGTGAGCGGGGAGACTCGAGTAGCGGCCGCACAGGCGGTGGGGCGCCACAAATGCAGGCAGGGGCGGGGGCCGGGCTGGTGGGGAAGGCTATGGGGAGGGGGGAGGGGAAAGGGGGGCAGGAGGGGGCGGGCAGTGGGCACGGGTTGGAGCGGGTGTGGGTGGTTGTGCTGAGCTCGGGGGGGCACTTCTCAGCGGCCGTGCTGGACGCCGCTGCTGAGGGCGCCGTGCTGGCGCACCGCTCCTTCCACCGGTCAGTGGGGGCACGCATGGGTGATGGGGGGCGGGGTGATGGGAGAGAACGGTTTTGCGAGGTGAGAACAAGGGAGTGTGTAGTCATTGGGGTGGTGCTGATTGGTTCTCGTGCGTTGCAAGCCAGTCTTGGAACGGCCATGGTTTGTGAGCTTGTGAGATGGGCATGTGCACATGGCTCCCCCCCTCCCCAGGTACGTGGTGCGCGCCAAGGCGGGCGGGCGGCAGGCCACGAGGGACGGCACGGGCAGGGCGCCGCAGTCAGCGGGGGCCAGCCTGAGGCGCTACAACGAGTCGGCGCTTGTCAAGGTGGGGCGCTCGCCAAGGTGGATGATGGTAGGGCATGTGGATGATGGTAGGGCATGTGGATGATGAAACGCCTGCTGGACTACGAGTATCTATATGCTCCATTTCCACTGTCTTGGAATAACCCTCTTTTCCGTTTTCCTGCCTCCTCTCCTCCCACACAGGTTTCCTGGTTCTCCCCTAGGTAACGCTGGCTGTGACGACGCATGCGTCGGGACGAATCCTCGCTCTCCCATTCGTCCAGCGTTCCCTCCTTTCTTTGGACCTCTTCTCTCTCCCCCTGTCTGCCTCCCATTCCACCCCCCTGCCTCAGGACATCCGTGCGTTGCTGCAGCAGTGGCAGCCGTACCTGCATCGAGCGCAATTCATATTCGTGCATGCGCCATCAGCCAACCGCGCCGCCCTCTTCGGCACGGCAGCAGAGGCCCACGCCTCCCAGGGAGCGGCAGGGGCGCCCGTGCTGCTGAGCGCCCGGGACCCGCGTGTGCGACGCGTGCCCTTCCCCGTGCGGCGGCCCACGTTCAAGGAGGCGCTCAGGGTGGCGCGCACTCTGGCGCACGTGCAGGTGGTGGGCGTGCGGCGGGCGGGCGGAGAGGGTCACCATGCCACGACGGCGGCAGGGGCAGTGGGCGGAGAGGAGGGGGCAGAGGGCAGAGAGGCACAGCAGGAGAGGAGTATTGTGGAGGGACGGGCGGAATCAAGTGGGGGGGAGGGGGGCAACGGAGAAGTGGAGGCGAGGGGAGAGGGCAGTGGAGGGGAAATTGAGGAGGAGGGGGGAAGTGGGGGAGGGCGAGGGTCGGGTAAAACTGAACTACATGTGGCCGCTGCTGCAGGTGGGTGTGGTGGCCGTCTGGTGGTCAGGTGGTGGGCATGTGGTGGGCGTGTGGTGGGCGTGTGGCGCTGTGTGATGGGTTTGTGGTGGGAATGGTGAATGAACGATGCAGTCTAAGGTGAGAGTAGGCTGGCTGTATGGTATATGCCACGAACCCACTGGTTTGCACAAATGCATTGGTTGCATCCGAGCGGAGTTTTCATATTGTTAAGGTGCTACTGAGTCGGGTAAGCTTTTGTGGTAGCTAGGAAAAAGCGCAGGTATTGCTGTCTATGGAGCCCTCCACTGCTCTCTATCCCCCGCCCTCTCTCCCCCCTGCAGGCAACCACGCCGAGGTCACGCGTCTGCTGCAGGAGGGCTGTGACCCCACGGCTCGGGACGGCAGGGGGCGCGTGCCGTACGTGGTGGCAGCGAACCGCGCCACTCGGGACGCGTTCCGGCGGTTCATGGCGGGGCGCGAGGCGCAGTGGGACTGGCACGCCGCCCAGGTTCCCAGCGCACTCACCGAGGAGCTGCAGGCCAGCCAGGCCGCCCGCCAGGTGGGGGGACGCCTACTCACAGTGCACGACTCACCCTTGTATTCTCCAGTGGCTGCTCGAGTTGCCCATGGCCTAGCTGCTTGCGTTCCCATGTGATGCAGAGTGTGCCGTGCGATGCAGAGTGTGCCGTGCCGTGCGATGCAGAGTGTGCCGTGCGATGCAGAGTGTGCCGTGCGATGCAGAGTGTGCCGTGCGATGCGGAGTGTGCCGTGCGATGCGGAGTGTGCCGTGCGATGCGGAGTGTGCCGTGCGATGCGGAGTGTGCCGTGCGATGCAGAGTGTGCCGTGCGATGCGGAGTGTGCCGTGCGATGCGGAGTGTGCCGTGCGATGCGGAGTGTGCCGTGCGATGCGGAGTGTGCCGTGCGATGCGGAGTGTGCCGTGCGATGCGGAGTGTGCCGTGCGATGCGGAGTGTGCCGTGCGATGCAGAGTGTGCCGTGCGATGCAGAGCGTGCCGTGCGATGCAGAGCGTGCCGTGCGATGGAGAGCGTGCCGTGCGATGCAGAGCGTGCCGTGCGATGCAGAGCGTGCCGTGCGATGCAGAGCGTGCCGTGCGATGCAGAGCGTGCCGTGCGATGCAGAGCGTGCCGTGCGATGCAGAGCGTGCCGTGCGATGCAGAGCGTGCCGTGCGATGCAGAGCGTGCCGTGCGATGCGGAGTGTGCCGTGCGATGCGGAGTGTGCCGTGCGATGCGGAGTGTGCCGTGCGATGCGGAGGGTGCCGTGCGATGCGGAGCGTGCCGTGCGATGCAGAGTGTGCCGTGCGATGCAGAGCGTGCCGTGCGATGCAGAGTGTGCCGTGCGATGCAGAGTGTGCCGTGCGATGCGGAGTGTGCCGTGCGATGCGGAGTGTGCCGTGCGATGCGGAGTGTGCCGTGCGATGCGGAGTGTGCCGTGCGATGCGGAGTGTGCCGTGCGATGCGGAGTGTGCCGTGCGATGCGGAGTGTGCCGTGCGATGCGGAGTGTGCCGTGCGATGCGGAGTGTGCCGTGCGATGCGGAGTGTGCCGTGCGATGCAGAGTGTGCCGTGCGATGCAGAGCGTGCCGTGCGATGCAGAGCGTGCCGTGCGATGGAGAGCGTGCCGTGCGATGCAGAGCGTGCCGTGCGATGCAGAGCGTGCCGTGCGATGCAGAGCGTGCCGTGCGATGCAGAGCGTGCCGTGCGATGCAGAGCGTGCCGTGCGATGCAGAGCGTGCCGTGCGATGCAGAGCGTGCCGTGCGATGCGGAGTGTGCCGTGCGATGCGGAGCGTGCCGTGCGATGCAGAGTGTGCCGTGCGATGCAGAGCGTGCCGTGCGATGCAGAGTGTGCCGTGCGATGCAGAGCGTGCCGAGCGATGAAGAGCGTGCCGTGCGATGCAGAGCGTGCCGTGCGATGCAGAGTGTGCCGTGCATGCTGTGTGGTGGTTGATGCATCTGCTGTGCTGTCCGCTGACAACCCGCCCTTGGTCTTTCCGTGTGTCACACCGGGCTCACTTCAGGCGGAGAAGGATGCGAAAAAGAAGGCAAAGGAGAAGGAGAGGAGACAGAGGAAGAAGCAGGAGGAGAGGGAGCGCAAGGTGAGGAGGGGGAAGGGGAAGGTAGCTCAATGTTATGCTTATGACTTGATGCAAGCACCAACGCCACGTGTCATCATGTCTTCTCACCGCTCTGCTTCCTCTTCCACCATCGCGCTTGCCCTCTCTCATGCCCCTTGTCTCGAATTCTTTGCTTGTCTCCTTCACCCCCCCGCCCACCCGCTGCCCTGTCCAGCAGCAAGCCCTCCTCCAGTCCGCACATGCTGCCCCGTCCCCTTCGCCCGCGTCGCCAGCAGACCAGCTGCACGCCATGACCGTATGGCGCCCTGCTTCCTGCACTCCCTGCCTGCTCTCCTCTGCCTGTCATCTTCAATCTCCTCATTCCCTTTTCTCCTCCCCATGCCACTGAGTTGCCTTGAGCGTGGCAGCCTTTCCTTCTCACCGTGCATGCGATGCCGCGTGCAGCCATGCGACACATGCTCACCTCATGTCTCATGCACGCACCACTGCCACGTGGCATCGGTCATGCCTGTGAATGCAGGAGCTGCGGGCGAGGGAGAGGGAGGTGAGGGCAGCGGCGGCGGAGAGGAGGCTGCAGCAGCTGTGCCTCTCGAGCGCGCCTGGCGCCACCGTGGAGGCCGCCGCTCCCTCTGCCACACATGCTGGTGGCAGTGGGTGTGATGGCTGTGGTGTGTCGCTGGCAGGGAAGACCCCTTTCTTTCGGCTGACCTACAAGTACTGCAGCACAGCATGTGTGCGCGCACACAAGACAGTCCTTGACAGCCTGTAGCTTTTCCTGTGCTCGCCTGCGGGCGACAAAGCAGTTCCGGAAGTCGCCTGCACGGCTGGCTACACATTCGTCGCGAATTGTGTTGAGGACACTTGTCAATACACTAGACAATGTGCTACAAGCCGAACGTGGATTGGGTCCGTCTCCAACCCTGCACATCCAACCTTGGAACGGAACAGAATATGCTGCTTCCTAGTCCAACTAACCAGATTACATGTGCTTGACACAAACCACGCTCGTCCACCTAAACTGCGGCACTGAGGCACTAGCTAACGAGGGCCATGCTTCTGGACGGAGGCGCACGGCACGGCACGGCACACTTGCTCGCACGGAGCCGTGCGCTGAATGGTGAGCGGGGCGCGAGGGCGGGTGACGGGGCGACACAGTCAGAGGCTGCGGTAGTCAATGACGGTGACCTCGTCATCCGGTGCATCCAAGTCCCGGTAGCTGCAGCGCGCAGGGGGGACACGCACGGCACACACACCACAGCACAAAGTCAACCACACATGCAAGCAGCCTGCTTGCACGCATGTCACGCACACAGCCCGCTAAGGGCGTAAGACAGCATGGTGGTGGCTGCAGTAGCCTTGCAAGCAATCAGAAGCACATGCATCCCAACATACATAACGCACATGCAACCCAACATAACGCACATGCATCCCACGATATCAGCCAACACCTCCATCTCTCCATACCAGCACATGCACCCCATCACAACAGCCCATGCTACCAGCCGTACCTGCGCATGCCACGGGGATCATGCGGTGGCCCTCCCATCATCGGCATCATCCCCATGGGTCCCATGCCCATCCCCATCCCCATCTCCATCCCCATGCCCATACCCATGCCCATGCCCATGCCTCTCATGCCCATGCCCATGGCCCCAAACCTCCCGGGACTGCCATACGGCCCCTCCCGTCCCCCTCTCGGCCTCCCTCCTCCCCCATCCCTCCCCCCTGCCCCTGCTCTCCCCCTCGCTGCTTCCCCCCGCGCCCCTCCCCCGCCCCCAGAGGGGGGAGGGGGGGAGCGCCCCTCCTCTCCCCCAGGCGCAGGGCCGGGCGGGCCGGAGGGGAGGGGGGCGTCAGGAGGGAGGTCGAGAGGGGGGTTGTCGAAGGGGGGAGGGGGCGGCGGGGCGTCGAAGGCGTCGAAGAAGGAGGGCGGCGGGCGGAAGGAGGGGTCCCTCAGGATGCGCGCTGCCAGGTCGGGGGGCGCGGGCAGGAACGGACCCAGCGGGCTGAGAGGCACAGGCGGAGGGGGGCAGGGGAGGGAAGGCGGAGTTGGAAGGTGGTGAGGGGGAGGGGGTGGGAGGAGAGAGAATGGGGAGAAGACGGGGCTAGGGGACGAGTGCGCAGAGTGCGGTTGTCGGTGGCACAACGGCAACGTATGGCTGAGGCTGCCTACCGCTGGTGTGGTAAGCCCACATCCCATGCTGTGTTGCCAAACGCTCCCATCAGCCTTACCCCTCTCCACCCCTCACCCGCACCTACCCCGCTGTTTCCTCTCGCACTCACCCCGGCCCCCTTTCCCAACCGGTGCGCGGGCGCCACTCACCCAGCGCCGGGCACGGGGATGAGCACGGCAGGCAGACGCCCCCCAAACGGCCCTCCTGGGCCCCCAGGCCCTGGTGGGCCTCGGTGCGGCAGCATGGGCGGGCCGCGCGGGGGCAGCGGCGGGGGCGGGCCGTCGAACACATCGAACACGGGCGTGGCGTCCAAGGGCCCCCCCGGCCCCCCCATCATGATGGGCGGCGCTGGCCCCTCCATGGCTGCGCCCCTCTCGTCAAACATCGGCCCTCCCGGCGGCGGCCCCATGAACTCCCCGCCCCCGCCCCCATCGAACCGCTCAAACCCCTCCCGTCCGTCCTCCCTGCCCCGCCTCTCATACCGCTCCCCCTCCCCCCCCGGCCCCCGGCCCCCCCGCCGGTCGAACATCTCGCCCTCGTACCGCCCCACCTCCCCCTCACGCCCGTACCGGCCCCCAAACCGCTCCCCGGGGAATGGCTCTGAGCCGTCAGGGGGTCCTCCCAGGGCCGGGGGGGGAGGTCCGCCAGGGCGGTCGAAGGGCGCGGCGCGGTCGAAGCGGTCGGGGGGGAAGGGAAAGGCGTCAGGAGGCGGGGGCACCCGCGCGCCCAGGCGCGCAGATACAGGCACCGGCGAGTGCGCGTACTGGCCGCGCTCCCGCTCCCTCTCTCTCTCCCTGTCTCGCTCTCTGTCCCTGTCGCCGTCCCTCTCCCTTCCCCTGACAGGGGCGTTAGGGTCACTGCACGGGAGAGAGGGCGGAAGGAATGGCAAGGAGGTTCAACTCAACCACAGAAGAGCAGCGAAAGCTTGCGGTGCATGCAGAAGAGCGGCAGGTCAGTTGGTTGGGATTGTCTAGGTAATCGGACGCAGGGTAAAGAAGTGGCAAGCAAGGGTAGGAGAGATGAGGGAACTCTGAGAACTTAAACCCACATGCTTTCATCCAACAAAAACACCATGGTCATCAAGCAAACACCACAGCGGCGAACAGCATATCATGTTGTTGCACTCTGACCTCGTCCACTCCTTCACTTGATCACGGAATCAAGCCACACACATTCCCCCCACCCACGCACTGCCCATCCGACATCATTCCTCATCATCTCCCCATCCATGGGTAATGAGTCGATTTTTGAGTCGACTAAAAAATCGACTCATTACACACGGATTATACACTGAGAGAATTATTGTCGCATGGAAGGCTGGGCGTAACTTGCAAAAGTTACTTGTTCGCACGAGACTCCCTGAGCACCAGTTGGCGAGATGTGGGTTACCCGCGACACGTCCTGAGGAATGAAGACCTGGCACCTTGGAACTTTCCAGGGTGTTTTGGATTGGCTGACCAGATTTCAGTCGCGGTTGTTCCAACCTTGAAGTTGTTGTTCTCGTAGCGCAGTTTTTTGTTTAAAAGCTCGCTTGTAAACTCATTTTTATAATTCCACCAGCACTGATGAAGGTCTGATTTGGGGCCTGTCCCAGTCAGCCGAAACTAGTTTGCGTTTTAATCTTCTAGTGGAGTTGAGTTCGGAACTTCAAATTCTCGCATCTTAAACAGGGGTATCAATTTACCTACTGTCACTCTTTTTGCAAAAGTTTTTCCTCTTCGCTGCAGCCCACCCTAACGCTTCATGGCCACTTGATCACAGAATCAAGCCACACACATTCCCCCCACCCACGCACTCCCCATCCGACAGCATTCCTCATCATCTCCCCATCCCACACATGCAGCTCTCACCGCATGCAGCTCTCACCGCATGCAGCTCTTACCGCATGCAGCTCTCACCACCTGTGGCGCTCATCTCACCGTATGTAGCTCTCACCACATGTGGCGCTCATCTCACCGCATGTAGCTCTCACCTAGACATGGTTAAATCGCATCGCATCGTGATATATCACATCGCGTTATATCGCATTTTGCGATAGCGATATACTTCAAAAAAAAAAAAGAATATCGCGGCAATGCGATGCGATAATATCGCGCGATATTTGCGATATCGCACTTTTATCGCACTATTTTTTGCGCGATAAAATGCGATAAGCGATAAAAAGATATCGCGCGCGATACTTCACGTATCGTGTCGCGGAATTTCGCCAGCAAGGGGGGGGACATGGGCGAGGGCCCTGAACTTAGCGAAAATAGATGGTAAGCTAGTATAGGTTTCTCTTGCTGAATGGCGCGCGGAAATGGCAAGCGGCAGTTTGGGGGGAGGAATTTGTGTGAGGAGCAGAGCTTGGAGCACATTAGAGGAAGGGTTGGAAATTCTAGATGGGAAGGAGTGCAGTGTGGTTGAGGGAGGGGAGTTTGGTGGGGGTTCAAATTTGTTATGGTTGGTGGTGGACGGTGGGCGAGTGGGTTTTCTGGATGGGATGTAATGGTGTGCAGTTGAAGGGATTTAGGGGGTTGGACTGAAATCTCCACCCCCAAAGTCAATTGGTTGGAACTTCAACCAATTTCCACCACTTCAACCGCACTAAACTCCCCTGCATGTACAGAATCCAACCCCTTCCCCTCAAACACGCTCCACATGAGAGAGGGACCACGATATTCCCATCTCCCATCAATTCACTGACCTAATTCCGCGCGAACCTAGGCGAGCCGCATTGTCGTGCCCTGTGGTGTGGGAACACGTTTTTTTAGTGCGGGAAAACAGTGGCCCCTAAATGCGATGCATTATTATATCGCATCGCGCGTTTTTTTTTGCGAAATTTTTAAATATCGCTCCCTAAAACGCGATATGCGATTTCGGTTTTTTTTTTAACATATCGCAGCGATGTGATATCGAATCGCTGCGATATAATGCGCGATAAGAGAGAATGCAATGCGATATCGCATCGCATCGCATTTTGACCATGTCTACTCTCACCACATGTGGCGCTCATCTCACCGCATGTAGCTCTCACCACATGTGGCGCTCATCTCACCGCATGTAGCTCTCACCACATGTGGCGCTCATCTCACCGCATGTAGCTCTCACCACATGTGGCGCTCATCTCACCGCATGTAGTTCTCCTCGTACACCTCCTCCTTGACTCGGTTCATCTGCTCCGCCACCAGCTCGGGGTGCTTCAGCTTGAGGTGCTTCACCACGAACTCCGGCCCGTGGAACAGCTTCGAGCACCCAGCAGCGGAGCACCCGTACTTCCACCCATACTTGTCGTCCTTGATCTTGCGCACCAGCCCCTCCATCGCGCCCCCCATGCACGCCTCCACTCTCTCCGCGCCCACCAGCGCCACCACCGGGTCCTGCCCCCCCGGCCCTGCACGCTCGCGCCACTTGTCGTCCACGCGCCTCGCCCACGCCTCAAAGCTCTCCCCCCCCCCCCCTTGCCCGGCCCGCCCTCCCTCTTCCCCTCGTCCCCCTCCCCCTCGTCCGCCCTCACGTGCCGCAGCCCCTTGGGCAGCCCCCTGAGCTCGGAGCCCCCATAGTAGTCGGCGCCGTGCACGCGCCACAGGTACGTCAGCACCGCGTCCAGCACCTCCACGCCCTCCATCCACCGCGCCGCCCCGCGCCCCCCTTCCGCATCCACGGGCGGGATCCGGATCTTGAACGGCTCATCCGCCGACCCCGCCTGGTTCTCCCCAAGAAGGAAGTTCCCCCCTTCCGCGCCCCCCTCAGCGCCCCCCTCCGCGTCCCCCAGCCCCTTCTCCGCGTCCAGCTTCGCCAGCAGCGCCCGCGCGCGCTCCAGGTCGTGCGCCACGCGCGCAGCCCGCCCAGCACCCGCCGGCACACGCGGGGCGGCGGCGGTGGCGGCGGCGGCGTCGTGCGCAATGGAGGGGCGGAAGGAGGGGTTGCGGCGACGTGCGTCCGTGGCCGCTAGGGGGTCACGGGGGTCCGCATAGGGGCCGCTGGGGGGAAACGGGAGGGGGGGAGGGAGGAACGGGGGGCAGGAGAGTGTGTGTGAGAAGGGAGGAGGGGAGCTAGGGAATGGCTGCGAGTGAGAGAAAACCACTTTGTGGAAAACGAACGGCGAAATGAGTGGCAGAGTGAGGGAAGAAGTGGGGCAAGAAGCGATGAAGGCAGACGCGGAAGGGACAGAGGGGGGATGACGGGGAGTGAAAACGAGCGTGTGAAATAGGGGGCGGAGTGGGAGGGGGATGGAGGAGCGGCACTGACAGGTCAGCATCGCCGCGTCGCAGGCTGTCAAGGAACTGCTTGCTCTCCAGCTGAGCGAACTCTGTGCGCCTGCCAGGCAAGGGCAGCACACACGACAACACACGCCACAGCACATGCGGCACACGCCACAGAACATGCAGCACACGCCACAGCACATGCAGCACATGCCACAGCACATGCAGCACACGCCACAGCACATGCAGCACACGGCACAGCACACGGCACAGCACGCATGCAGCACGAGGGGAAGAGGTTGGGTGGGTAGGGATGAGCAGGAGGGAGTGAGAACGAGGCAGAGCGAGAGGGGCAGGGGGAGGAGGTGGCAGTGCAGGGGACGATTGGCAGGCGTGAGTGCAATTATGGCGGCAGCAGGGCCGCATGGAAAGGGCGTGCATGGCAAGGGTGGTGGGGGGTGGTGGGTAGCAGGGAGTGGGGAGTGGTGAGGGAGGGAGTGACAGGCAGTGCTGCGAGACAGCATGACAACCAAAGATGGCACATGTTGCCCTCACCACTCCCCACCACTCCTCACTCCCCACTCCCCATTCCCCACTCCCCACCACTCCCAACTGGAGGAACTGCTTGCTCAGAATGACAAGGTCCGGTGCTCACCTGTCGACAAGGCTCTCGAGGCGAGCCGGGTCGTACAGCGCGCGCAGCCTGGGGGGCGCACAGGGAGGGAGCAGGGCGGAAGGGAGGACGACGCTGGGGAGGGGGGCGAGGAGACACAGAACGAGTGGCGGAGGTGGACGACTTCACGTTGACGGTGGAGCACGGGCGCTGCAACAACGCACGCCAGCCCGTAGTGCAAGACACCAGCACAACCAAAGATCGCACGCGTTGCCACTCACCACTCCCCGCCACTCCCCACCACCACTCACCACTCCTCGTTCCTGTGCTCGTCGAAGAACGCCTTCTTCTGCGCCGTGACAAACTTGCTCTTGTACTCCCCGTACCTGCCACCGGGACCAAGGGGAGCGGGTGGGGGGGAGGTGAGCGGCGGAGCGTACATGAGGCAAAGGGAGTGCAGCAGCAGAGTGCACAGAACGAAAGCTGCACAATCACGCCACAACCAACCCGCACACCTCTTCTCGGCGTCAGCCGGCGACACGTCATCATCCAGGTCAGCAATGAACTGCTTGTACGTCAGCAGCACGTCCGCCGGCGCTGGCCTGCTGCCACGCAGGTCAGGCGGGAGAGAGGCGGACGAGAGTGGGAAGGGCGCGGGGAGAGACAAGGGGGAGAGAAGTGGGCGATAGCAGGAGGAGCAGGGAGAGAGCGGGGAGAAAGCGGGGAGCAAGGGAGGAGCAAGTGGGGACGGAGGCGGGAGAGAGCGGGGAGAGATGGAAGAGAAAGGAGTGAGGGTTGGGAAAAGGGGAGGGAGAGTTGCGAGAGAGAGCGATAGGTGCGAGAGAGGTGGGAGAGAGGGGCGACGGGAGGGGAGAGGGAGGAGAGAGGGGCGAGAGAAGGGGGAGGGAGGTGTGAGAGGAGGGGAAGAGCAGGGGAAGACAGATGCGTGAGAGGCGGAAGAGAGGGAGGAGATAGGGGAGAGAGGTGAGAGAGAGGGAATAAACAGGAGTGGAAAGAGGCGTTGAAAGAGGAGGCGTGAAAGCACACAAGCCAGTGAAATAGCAGAGCGTTTTAGAAAAAAATGCACCGCAATTGGAAAGCTGCCCCGTGTCCAAACAGTAGCGAATGTAGGCAAGGCATAACAACGAGCCCAGAGGGGCAAGAAGCATGAGAGGCGCAGCATGAGAGGGCAGCGTGCATTGAATCGCTGGCCGCCACCATCTCGACCGTTGTGAGCACGCTACCTGCGCGGCGGCGCATCACTGGGCGCGTAGTGCGGCGGGTACGGCGGTGGCGGCGGGGGCGCAGCGCCGCCTGGCAGCATGTCATAGGCAGGCGGCCGCCTGTAGCGATCAGGACCTGGTGGGGGCAGTGACGAATTGAACGAGATGCAGTTGAGCACGGTTGGGTGCGGAGAAAGCACGAGGAGAGTGGAACACGCACGAGCCAATCGCAAGGGACTCAAAGGCAGTGGCTCCACAGTGCAGCACGCGCCTCCCAGCAACCCCCACTCCCCCCGTCCCGCCGTCAACACCTCGTCGCCCAACCCCGCATCCCCACCGCGCCACGCGTACCTGGCGGCGGGCCGGGCGGGCCGGGCAGGCGCGCGTAGGGGTCGTCAGAGGGGAAGGGCGGCAGGGCGCGCGGGGCGTCGTAAGGGTACCTGCGGGCGGCGGGGAGAGGGGCGCGAGACGGCAGCACGGCGAGAGCGAGAGAAGCAGAGCAGTGAGCGCCGTCAGGTTGACGGTAAGAGTCGTATTCCGGGGAGAAAAGACGGGAACAGGACAACGAAACAAGGAAGAGCGCAGGAATGCGCGATCGCATGCAGCGGGATGCGCGATAGAATGCAGCGGGAATGGAAGGCAAGGCGTGGAGGAATGGAGGAATGCAGGGGGTTCGCCGCACACAGCATGACTTGCCTCCGAGGAGCGCGACGCCCCCACCATCACCACCACCAGCGCCGCACGGCGTTGCGAGCATTGCTGGGTGTCAAGCTGACCGCTTGCACAGCTAAGTATTATGCTACTCCTACTTGTGGCTAGTGTGCTAAATCCAAAATCAACTCCTGCGTCGAGGGACTCGTTCCGTCAGCTGTGAGAGGAAGCTAACCTAGGCGAGGTGACGAGAGGCCAGGCGGGAGGCGTGGAGGCCATGGGGCGAGAGGCAGTCGGCACGCTGAGAAAAGGCGGTCTCAACTGAAACCTAGATTTAGATTGACTGGAGCGGTCGGATTGAAACAATGAAATCTGGCGGTTCACGGCGGATCAAGAGACAACAGACTAGCGGACAGCCATGCTCCTGCGGCGGCGCTCAGAGCCTCTCGCAGCGGAGCCCTGCACGAAGCGTGAGAAGCGCGTGAGCCGCGTGGCGAGAGCCAGAGAGCGGAACAAGAGGTGGATTCCGGGCGCCGCCGATGCACGCGTCAGCGCTCAGGTAATTAAGCCCTGCTCACCACGCGAATGGCTGTTTCTGCGTTTAAGAAAAAAGCGAAAAGCAATTGCACGAAAGCGACGGTAGTCCTGACCTCTTCGCAGGGGAGCCGTATCGCGGCGAGGCTCGGCGGGGACTGGCGCTCCGCCGCCTCTTGTAGTCGCGCTCGCGATCGCGCTCCCGCTCCCGATCGCGCTCCCGATCCCTCTCCCTCTCGCGATCCCTCTCCCGGTCTCTGTCTCTATCGCGGTCTCTATCCCGGTCCCTGTCCCTATCGCGCTCCCTGCCGCGCTCCTCGTGCCGCCGCTCGTGCGAGTCGCTGTGGCGCCGCTCTCTCTCGTCGCCGCGCCCGCCCCGCTCGTCCCGCGGCCGCGACGAGCTCCTCTCGCGCGACCGATCGCGCTTCCGATCCGACGAGGCCCCGCGCCGCTCCGCATCGGGCGGGGAAGTCCCTGACGCCATAGCGCCGAGGGTGGGAGTCGCGAGTGACGGCGGAAGAGCGAGGGAGTACGCGAAGGGGAAGCAGTGTCTACTGGCGAGATTGGTGATGGAAGCCGAAATGAGAGGCACAGGGAACAGCAGTAAGGGTTTGGTCGAATCTGCCCCAGGCGATGGGCGCGAAGGGCCTTTGCTGGGAAGAGCCCTCTGTAATGTCAGGGCGTCCCACGCGTACGTTTGATTGCGGTGGGGTGATGCTCTCTGAGTCAGAAGGTTCTTATAACGATGTGAAATTGTTGGGTACAAATATAGGCAAAAAAACGTACGCGAGGGACACGCCCTCAGAATGGTAATGTTATCTAGATACGTTAAGTTATGACATAGGAAGTGTCAATGAAATATAACGTGAGAATACAAGGTCGCTATTGCAATGAAGGCACGAGGTTATATAGGGGTTGGCGTGCTAGGACGATAACCTCGGAACGTGGGTAGCAGGGCTCGTGCTAAGGTTTTGGGGGACTCTGTTTCTTCCGGAATTCCCCCCCCCCCCCCCCCGCGGGTCTGTTTCGTCCTGATTGGAGGCTCCGCGATTTCTGTTTCGTCCGGAATCGGGGTTGTTGTTACTATTAACCGAGTTTCGGGTACAGTGTACTCGGATAAGAATACGTAACCTTTCACTACAGGTTGGACGATACATCAAAGCTTCTACAACTTGACTAAGCATGCATGCATAGCCTGCAGAGTGCACAAACTTTGTTGAAGCTACCTACATTCGTTAGACAACATCTCTACAAGCCCCGCCTACACAACTAAACTAAGCCACACGGCCAGGCAAAAATGTTCACATCTTGGTTGCATCCAAGCACGGGCGCCGCTTCTTGATACCAGTGAACGTGTTGTACATACTGAGAATAGAATGATAGATAGAGTGTACACACAAATATACCTAAGTGTTGTACTCTCTAAGAGACGACCCTATACAGTCTATACAAACATGACAAATACACATGTTTGACACACCCCCTAGACTACATAGGGGAATGCTCTAAACAAACAGCTCAGGGCGGCACTACTAGTCCAACCTCTGAGACAAGGGTCTGAGAGACCTGTCAGAAGGAGTACAAACAAGGCAAGAACAAGAGCAGGGCGGCACTACTAGTCCAGCCACTGAGAGAGGACACAAGTCCAGTCTGAGTATACGTATAAAGGACAGTACAAAGTCAAGGTCCTAGCAAGTGAGAGGCTACTGGAACTAGACCAAGCTGTACACAGTGCCGCTGATGATCTTTAGGCGCAAGCGCCTTCGTAAAGATATCAGCCGTATTGGCACCTGAGGCCAAGTGTACTACGCGAGCCTGACGTCGCTGCTGTAGCTCACGCAGGAGGAAGTACCGCAGCTGAATGTGCTTTGCTCTGCCCTCGAGTCGAGGCTCCTGACACAGGAGGATCATGGCCCTGTTGTCAGCGAACAGGACCGGGGCAGAGCTAGGCCGCTCACCTAAGTCGGTGAGCAAGAAGGTCAGCCAGCGAAGCTCCTGTGCCGCCATGGCACCAGCGTAGATCTCAGCCTCACAGCTGGACTGCGCAACAGACGAGGAGCGGGTAGCTCTCCACGAGACGGCACCTGAGCCAAGGCTGAAGCAGTAGCCCTGGGTAGACCTGAGTGTCTCAGCGTCGTCTGCCCACGAAGCGTCTGTGTGTCCAGTAAGGACCACTGGCCTGCGTCCTCCTAGCACTAACCCCATGCCCGATGTACTAGCGAGATAACGCAGAACCCTCTTAGCGACAGACCAGTGCTGCGGTCGGTGCCTGCCTGTGGCCACAAAGCGAGCCAGGATGCTGAGAGGGTATGCGAGATCTGGACGAGTGCAAGTCATCAGGTACATGAGGCAACCCACTAGCTCTGCGTAGGGGCTGCTGGGCTCTACCAACTCCTCAGACACTGGAGCGGAGAGTCTGTGGTCTACAGGCAGAGGGGTGGGCTGTGCAGAGGAGAACAGAAGGCTGAACCTCTGAAGGACCTGGCGCACCAAGTGTGACTGAGTCAGGGTGATGGTGCGCGCAGCTCTGTCCATGGAGATCTGCAAGCCAAGGTAACGGCGCAGTTCTCCAAGGTCAGTGCACGTGTGTCTCTTGAGCAGCTCTGCCTTCACGGAGGCCAGTGCGTCCCTGTCAGCTGTGGCAAAGACCAGGTCGTCGACGTAAACAAGGATGTAGAACGGAGTCTGGCCAGCACGAACGAAGAGTGAAGGGTCTGCGGAAGACGGAAAGAATTGCAGGTCAGCAAGCGTAGCACGGAGAGTGTCGTGCCACTCACGGGGAGCCTGGCGCAGGCCGTAGACGGGGCGCCGCAGGAGCCACTGGGTCCCAGGAGGGAAGGTGCCAGTGAAGCCCTGAGGGCGCCGCAGGGAGACCTGCTCGTGTAGGCTGCCCTGAAGGAAGGCAGTGGAGAAGTCGAGGGAGTGAAGCTCGTAGTCACGCTGAGCAGCTAGGTGTAACAGAACCCGAAGAGTAGTCATCTTCGGGGTCGGAGCGAAGGTCTGGAAGAAGTCCACCCCCTCGCGCTGACTGAAGCCTCTAGCCACATAGCGCGCCTTGAAGACAGGCGGCTCTCCAGGAGGGCGCTTCACCTTGAAGAGCCAGCGGCCATCGACTACGTTCACCCCAGGTGGGGGAACTGCGTCGACGAAGGTGCCGGTGGATCTCCAAGATGCCATCTCCTGCTCCATGGCAGCTATCCACTGCGAGGCCTAGGGTCCCGAAGTCGCCTCAGCGTAAGTGCGAGGGGTCGGGATGTCAAAAGCGTCTGGGTCACCCTCAGGGACTAGCAGCATGGAACAGAGATGGGGAGCAGCCTTGGAGAGGAAAGCAAGCTCGAACTGGCGGTCCTCCAGGACGTCACTGCCAAGGGCAGGAGCACCCCCGACAGACGGAGGACAGGCAGGGTCAGAGACCAGAGCGGAGGCGTAGTCAAGGCGGCGGGTAGAGGCGAAGTCAGCGACAGCAGCGACAAGAGCGTCAAGGCACGAGGTCGGAACAGACGGGTCGGTAACAAGAGAGGCAAGGACCCGAGGAACAAGGGGACGAGCGGCACGAAGGTAGTCAGACAGCGGGGGGGGTGCAACAACAAGAGAGGACGGAGGAGGCGACGGCAGAAGAGGAGGACGAGACGCGTGGGAACGAAGCAACATAGGGTGGGAGCGCAAGACAGGCGAGGCAGGACGAGCGCGGGAGGGACGGTGAGACCAGACGTGCGACGGAGGAGTCGGGTCAGGAGACAGAGGAGGGGACACAGGAGGGGAACGAGGGGGGAGACGGGCCGGGGACGAGTCCGGCGGAGGGAAGACAGGGCCGTAGACAGGAAGAGGAGGAGACGGCCGGGGAGGAACCGACGCAGGGTCGGGGGACGGAAGGCCGAGCAGGCGAAGGGCTGACACCGGCGGGGACTGCTCCTGCGGCGGCACAACGGCGACACCGGGATCGCAAGCTGCTCCTCGGCTACCACCGGCACTCTCCACACCAGCACCCCCAGAGGGACCACCCCCAGGGCTACCGAGAAGAGCACCCCCAGAGTCAGCGAACGGGTGCTGCGAAGGCGGCGGTGGCGGCGGCAGCGACAACGACGGCTGCAGCGGCGGCAGAGGCGGTGGAGGGGGGGACTGGGGAGGGGACGCTGGGGGAGGGGCGGCCGGCGAGGACTGAACAGGAGGGCCACCAGAGTCAGAAGACTCCTCAACCGGTTCCACCGACGGAAGGGGGGTGACGTGGGACACACCAGAGGGGGCGGGACGGGGAGGAGGAGGAGGAGGGGCAGGGACTACCGGGGAAGGAGTGACCAGGAACAGGGGGGGGTAACCGGGGGACCACGGTGGGGGAAGCGGCGGTAGTAGGAGACAGACTCGTCAAAGGTGACGTCACGAGAGTGAAAGAAGCGGTGAGACGGCGGGTGGTAAAAGTGCCAGTCGGACGCGTCAAGGGGAAAACCAAGGAAGACGCAGGGAAGGGTGCGGGCAGTGAGCTTGTCCGTGCCGGAGGCACGGACGTGAGCAAGGCAGCCCCAGACGTGGAACGCAGACGCGTCACCAGGAGACCCAGTCCAAAGACGAGTCGGCGAAACCTGCGGCTGCTGAGGGTGCGGCCACAAGTTAAGCTGGTGAGAAGCGTAGCGCACAGCGAACGGCCACAGAAAATGGGGTGCACCGGCATGGATCATGGAGGTGCGAGCCACCTCCATGACCAAACCGATGCGTCGCTCAGCGACCCCATTCTGCTGTGGGGAGTCCGGTAGGGTGAACGTCTGGGTGATGCCCTCCGCACGACAAAAGCGACCAAGGACACCTGAGGCAAACTCGCCACCACGGTCGGAGTGAAGACGCAAGACAGGGAGACCGCGGTGGACACGCGCAGAGACAAGCCAGGGGATGAGAGCGCCAGGCACGTCGGCCTTGCGCTCCAGGGGAAAGACTGTGGTGTAACGAGTGAAGTCGTCGACAAGCACAAGGAAGTAGCGCTCTTGACGCGGCCCAG